TGCAAACGCTTTCGAGCTTCCTGGTAACTTGAGTAGTAGGCCGAAAGTTCGGCGTCATCTTGAATCGTTTCGTTTACTGCACTTTCAAACTGGAGGATGAGCGCTGCATCGGGGTCTTCGGAAGCCCATTGCTCAAGGCTGTCTTCGTCCCACTGCTCTTCCGAATTTGTCCAAAAGGCGTCTTCATCTTCCTCCAGGTCTTCAGTTGCAAATGCTGAAGAGTCGTAAGTCTTCAGAGACTTGTCCTTCTTGCCAGTGGTGTATTCTTGAAAGAACGCTGAACCCGGGATACCTTGGCCATTGTAAGTTGGCCTCCACTCTAAACACCACATTCCACCAGCACTCTTTTCTTGTCTTCTGAGGACAAACGGCTGCCCCGAAGGACCACGTAGGCCTGAACTTCACGAAGGTCTATCTTCTTCGTCTCCACTTCTGTCCAAGCAACGTCCATGCGAGCCAGGAAACTGTCGGCTGATTCGTCAGTCTTCTGCTGACACCTGAACAAGGCTTTTTCCACAACCTCGTACTTCTTCTCGAAATCTACCTGGCCAAATTGTCCAGTGACAATCTCACTGATCTTCATGATCCGTGCTTTGTCTCCAGTCATGGTTTCGCTCTGGCGAAGTTCTAATTTCTGGAATGCTGTGTTGAGGATCACTCGAGTTGCCAACTCTGTGTATGTGGTCTCTGGCCAGGCTCTCAAAAGAAGCATGATCTTCTGTCGCCATTGTTCAACTGAGTCCGTCGCAGGATCAAACGAAGGAACCAGCTGTGCTAGCTGGTTTGTCACCGACTGCTCTGAACCTCCTGCTCCAGGAGTTTCCGTCGACATGTTGTCGAGCTTCCCCAAGCTCTATCCAACAAGGTAGGTCCCTCAACGGAGCGAGAGGCTCCGCTACCAATTTCAAGTGCGGACAAATGAAATTGGTAGCTGAAGTCTCCCCGTCCGACCCAGCGAAACGTCCACGTTTCCAAGGTCGGATACGACCAGGTGCCCTGCACCTTCAATGTTCAACTCTGTAAATCCAACAATGTATGTTCAACCAAAGTGATTGCCCTGCAATGATCAACACCTGTGAGATCTGCCCTGGTCTCCCAACACCGGCACGCCCTCGTGACCACACGAAGGTCTTTTCCTATGGCTCAAGTGTCCACCCTTCTCGCCCACCTTGAGGCGGAAGTCACGGTCGATCGAAGGCATGCACGAATGCACCAACATGTGACTGGTTTCCTTTCGAAATCTTTGAGTCTTGGATTATATATATATATATTTGTGTGTGTGCGCACATGTATGTCCAACGATTTATTGAAGTGCAGAATCAGAGAACAAAATCCCCGGAGCCCGACTCACCGTGGTCATCAAACGTTGGGTTCCAAAACGCGGGCGACGGGAGAGTCCGGTGGGATGGCTGGAGTGGAGACCCTGAAGGCGATCTCTGGGTGGCACTTGTACTGCAGGCTTGATGAAACACACACAATCACCAAAACACGACTCAATGAGGTTTTCAGGACCAGGTTTTACTGGAAAGCTCACACTTTCCTGGGTCTATCTGAGTCTGAAATCCCACACTTTGACCTGGTCACCTTTTCGAGAGGCTGGAAGTCATTCCTGCACCTGGCCGGCGGAGAATCACACGAGGATTTTTGGGATAGGGAATCTCACGGGTCGTCTGCTTGAAGAGACCTGACTATCCTTCTGCCCTTCAACTCAAAGCCACTCAGCAAGATGTAGAGCTCTGGCACGGAGATCAACAGACGCCCCGCACGGAGCAAACGGATCACCCGGAAGATCCGGAGGACGTTCAGATTCACCATTTCCGTCAGGGCCATGCCCGCCCACCCGATCCTTGAAGTCGGTGGAATCAAGTTTGAAAACGGACGGAACGTGTGGACGGACCGTGTGGACTGCAGTTTGGACGTGTTGCCCATCATCCTGACCCTCTGCAACACAGATAAGGACCAGATGTCAAGGTAGGAACCCTCGAACGCAGCAACACGTGAATCAAAAGAATACTGAAGCGTCTCAACCTGCGATTAAGTCACAGGACGATGAAGAGGTCGATGAGGTTCCATCGGTTTTGAAGAAAAAGACTTCGCTCAACATAAAGTCGTGCTACGCATTCCAGGCTATAAGCCACTTGCAGGGCCACATTGCAGCCCCACGCCCAAACAATGTGGCTACTGGCATGTGGGCATTGAAGCATATTGTTTGAATAGTCCGGGTAGCATCCTTGGCTGTCCAGGACATGACCTGACGTGACCTGGAAGGATTCTGCCATCAAAAGCATTCTGCCATCTGAGGGGATTTCAACTAGGGAGAAAATCTGTCAATGAGATCCCAGGCATCTGGCATCCTGGTTGGTCTCAAAGACGATCAAGAGGACATTGGCGAAAATAATCAATCCCATAAATGTTTCGAAGGCCTACGTCTTGACATGCATTGGCAAAAAGACACCCGCAAACGATGCTATCTAGGGAAGGTGGATTGAAAGTAGTTGCACATATATCATCATCACCATCACCACCATCACCATATCATATCATATCATATCATATCATACATGTATAATCATATATATATATATACTTTGTAGATATACGATGGAAACCACTGAAATTGTATGAAAATAACAGATACACCTCACCCATCCTCGCCAAATGCTGAGGTGCTTGATCGATCTTTCCCCATTCCAGACTGCTTTGGATGAATCGGCTACCCCCCACCATCCCCCACGTCCGGTCACCCTCATCACCCTCCCAGTACTCGGTCCCACGTCCGAAACTCGGTACTTCGTCTTCGTTTCAGACGCCGCCTGGTTCATGACCACTTTTGCGGTACAAACACGCAACCACGGCCAGATGACATGCCCATCCTCATCAAGCCAAGGCTTAGTCTCGTAGTGCCGGTAGCGCATGGATGACTCATTCTCAAGCGTCTGCAACGTTCGCCTCAGTGAACTGGCTGACTGGTCCGTTCTCAGAGTGAAGATATGTGGTTCCTGGTGGTTTTGTTACTCTTCTTCACCCATGGTATCATTCTCGCTTGCTTGCTGTTGTCGGCATGGTAGCGACCACGAGCACCACCAACTCCGCCACCACCTGCTCCTCCACCAGCACCACCAGCAGCAACAGCAGCAGCAGCATAGAGACAGACTTGCACTTCCGATTTGACAGCGGCATCTCTCTTGCCTGGCCCTCCCCTTACAAACCTTTCGTCCACCTGCCTCCTTTCGAGTTGGCATCGAGCCGCGCACCCGAGATGCGCGCCTGTTCGTCTCGGGCGGTTCGTTCGCGATCGTAGAAAACGCAAGGATCGCATGCCTGGGGGGGCAGGATTTGACGCGGCACCTCTTCTCCTATGCTGTTATATGTGTGCGTTTGGCGAGCTGGGTCGGCGTTCTTCACAGCTGCCGCGATCCAGCATTCAAGATGGGGGCGTGCATCGGTAAGTCAATACACAGCAAAACGTCAACGCACTGGCCACTGCAAGCTACAAAGCTTTGACTTGCCGCAGTAGCAGTGACTTACAAGCTAGCCACCTGCAAACAGTAAAGGCCAAGAATTTGCAAAAGCTGAGCACAAAGCAAGAGCCTTACAAGAAGCAAATGCGAAGGAAAAGCCTCAAAAATTAGCTGACAAAAGCAAAAACGACCAGCAGCCAAGCTCCAAAGCACACATAGCCAGACATCTCTCAGTGGCGCCTCTTCCTATACTTGAAGTAAGAACCCCAAAAAGCGCGCGCTATCTGGGGAAAAGCACGCACCGCGGCCGTGCCAAAACAGAATGGCACCCAGTCTTAAGCGTCCACACCAAAAAGAGCTCCCGGGGAAGGTTGGATTCCACCGACCTCATCGACCCCTTCACCGTTTCGTTGCGCGACGCCAGGCCGGCCGACAAGCTGAGGAAGCTGAGGAAGCTGAGGTCGGGAATGGAACAAAGGAGCCCTCCGACCAATCCAGGTATGATGTAAAAAACAGAAAAACCGCGGGAAGTTTGGCGAGCAATGAGGTAGTTGGATGGGCAATCAATGAGATCGCGGGATCGCAGCGGTGAAAAGCCAGATCGGGCAACAGTTTGTCTTCAAATTATGACGAGTCAACTGGTGGTTGCTCAAGGCGGCTCGATGCAGATGTTAACCAACGAAATTGCGCCAATGACTGGACATGTTGATGCGCGTAAGGCGCAGGTCCAAAAAATGAAACAAGACTTTGGCCGCTGAGTTGTTGCGCCAATTGAAGAAGGAAAAACCATGGAAAACCCATCTCGAAATTGACCCCAGCGCCGGGGTGGAGTGAGGGGGCAGCACCAAGACACCCACGGCCCGGCCAATGTGGCCGCCCCAAAGGCCCAATGGCAGCACTGGACTAATAGTCGCTCCAGAAATTTCAGACAGTGGGATTAGTAGGATCCATTTGGCAGTGGCCCACTCTTGCAGCAAGCACACTTGAGCACGCGACTCGCTCACTTGCAACACCAAGCAGCAGCCATACCAACATCAGTTTGCGACTGACCGAAACCTGGCTCCCGGCCCGTCACCCCAGGAGGTTCGCCATCCAAGGCACACCAAGTGCTCATTGCCCTCGTGGCGTTGCACTGCCATGGCCACCGATGCCGTCGTATTGGAGCGTCGCACATACTCCAGGGCCTCAAGGGGCTTCGCGAGCTTGCTCACCGGGGACGGGGACGGCAGACGGCGCGGCGCATCCATCGCAGCGGAGTGAAGGGCACCCGTGAAGGGCACCACGGGCACAGAAGGCAACTATAGCTTGAGGTGAAATGAGGCTGGTGAAGGGGGGTGGCTCACCGTGGGTGCATTCTTTTTGACCAGTGCTACCCAGCTTTCAACTTGGAATGGCTGCCATTAAGCCCTCACAATAGAAGTTTGTTGACCCCGGTCTATGCAATTATATTGTAATATCTCTATATATATATGTGTGTGTGTGTGTGTGCCATATGCCCCTACCCATCTACCCATCCTTCAAGACCCATCCGCCGGCCGCCTCTCTTCGCCACACACCGAGCGGGGCACCGATTGGCCCCAGAAGTACCGGTGAAACGGCCACGCCACGGTGGCCAAGCGCATGCCAGGCGCCTGCCAAATGAAAAAGAAGTCTCCAAGGTCACATGGCTTCTACAAGCGCCTCCAGCAGACTGGAACCCAATAGAGCCAACTTCTCTCGACAATCCTTCTGCTCTCTCTCCCACTCTTCTTCGAAGTGTTCTGAAAGCTCCTGGACAGTCGGGCGCTTCGCCGCCACCACGGCAGGCTTCGAACTCCAACATGACGACCGTCACAGCACGGATCGTCCGCCGCACCGAGAGGTGAAGAACCGAAGGTTTCGGTGCTCATGGCATCGCCGATGTAGCTTTGCTCAAAGACCTACTACAAGGGCCCTGTATCTGGGCTTCAAGGAAGTTTTTTGTTATAGATAATAAATAAGGTCACTGGGTCCTTCGTGACACAGGGGAATTTGATGGAATTTGCATTCCCCCATTTGCCTTGATACTCCCCGTATTGAACAGGAAGGTGCTGATGTCCAGAATCGATGTCGTCGTCAAGTCCAATCATTTCCAAGCAGGACCCCAATTCCAGCAGGACACCATGGATACTCCAAGCACGCAGGGCCACTAGAATAGCAAGGCACAGGGCCACACAGCGAGACCTGGTCCTATCAAACCTCCCCATCCGCATCCGATGGAAAACCCAAATGCCTCAAAACATGTGACACCTAAACAGCACAAAGAATTGCATGTCCAAACGAAGGAAGAGCATGGAATGAACATGTCATGTGTAAATCCCTCAAAAAAATAACAAACTCACGGGGCCACACATTTGATAGCGCGACGAGCTTTGAGTCCGGTAGTGGCACGGCCCGCCACACATTCAAGAAAACTATAGTAAACCATTCGCAATCAATAAAAATACATATTCATCGACCCAAACAGCAATAGTTCGTAGCTTCGCAGGTCATTCCCGTGAAAATTCATCCTGATTCGCAGATCATCCAAGTGCTACATCATCCTCTCCAAGCAACCAAGAGCGAAATCACACACCCCAACCCCCCCACCCCATGTCTCATCCAAGACCATCTTTGTTTGCAATTAACCTGTTGCGCTATTCCAGACTATCTTCTGACACCGGTGACAACAAAAAGTGCGCAAAAGCCTCACAAACCACTAAAATCTACTTTGCAGAGTCAACGCTCTCCCCAGTGGCCCTGCGGGTACTACGAAATGCCGTAAATACCACACAGAATTTTTTGACAATCGCGCTCTCACCATCGCGTCGCCATTGACCCCGTGAGCAAGAGAAAAACGGCATAAGCCCCGAGAGAAATTGGAAGCCCAGGTCCCTGCGGCGTTTCATGTATGTCCTTTGGAGTCGCGCTGTCCGTGCGATGGATTTCAAGAACTCCATCTTGCAGAACAAACGAAGCGGTGGGCAAAGCTTGAGTTGAGAGATGCGGCAGTCAGCCACGGCATGTCAAAATGATTCCCACTCCCAAGCCTGAACAAGCCCCTCCTACCTTCTCAGTTGCATGGGTGCTTTCGCCATGATTCACCCCAAGCTTGCGGTCACTGACCACCAAAAGAAACCCAAGTCCCCAACCAAAAAGGCTCCCCTGCGTCACCCCCTGCTTCACTCGGCGCGACGCTGCATCCACCTCTCAGGGCCTCCAAGGCACAGCCTTCGGGAGAAAGGTGCCTCAGGGGTCCGCCCAGCGAGGTCGGCCCGAACTCGGCACTGGAACTCGGCGCCGGAACTCGGCGCCGGAACTCGGCACCGCTGACAGGGCTCGTGGACATGCGTCGGCCGAGGCTCGATCAGAGACACGGCTGACAGCCCTTGTGGCCAATGGTGGTTGGAATGAGTTGGAGGTCCAAGCAGGCTGGTCAGCCAGATCGCCCTGGTAGCGATGAGCAATTAGCACCTAGCGACCTAGACTCTTGATTAGTCAGCCCCCCATGTCAAGAGGCATTACTCTCCGAATTGGGGGTTTATGATGAATCAACATGCGTGGTAGAAACGTGTCCCACCAAAAACCGGTAGTAGAAACCAGGAAGCCGGAAGCAACAAAAAGCCACAGGGATCGGTGGCTTCACCTCACTTTGGGTGCTTCATCTCATCTGTAAGTGTTGAGTCCTCATCTCATCTGCGTGGTTTGGAGCCAAAAGCTTCGTCTAGAAGTCTAGAAGCCTAGTGGTCAGACATTCCTCCAATCGAGCACATATGTTCACCGAGCTGACCCATCTGCGGACTTCTTTTAAGTAAAGAGGTTACAAGTGCAACCATCCCTTCCCAGAAACTGGTCAGTGCCAAGGCTCCTTTCGGGAGCTCGAAGCGACACAACTTTTCGCCAGTGCTGGCTTTGAAGGCATAAGCAATCCACTGGTGAAAGGCCAAGACCGTGTCCTCAGGATGGGAGATGGTGCAGTTGGCCCAAACGCTTGGAACGTTTTTGGACTAAACCCCCTTTTCTCAGGGTCCATGAGAGCTGGGGCCGCTCCAAGAAGACCCATACAGGAAGCTATCAGCCCACCTCGTCCCAAAAAAGGGCCCTTTGCCTCAAGCTGTTCCTCATTCTGCAACAAAGATCCTAATTCCTAATTGGCTCCGTGGCTCCACGAGACAAATGGGAAGTGAGTCTATCTCTACCGTGCCCAGCGACCACAACACTCGTGTAATCTTTTGTTGATGATGCAAAATGTCATGAAAACTAGGGCCGAAACACCTCCCAGGAATTCCTGGCGGTATAGTTTATAGACCTCAAGTCTCCTGCCTCATAACCCCTCCCCTACCCACCACCCCAACACTGGTTCTCCCTCACATCCAGCAGCGCGTCCAACCCGCGACCGGGCACCGACCAACCCGGTTCAACCCACGGGGGCGCCGCACCAACCGGCGACACAGCGCGGCGGAGTCACATTGTCCCACCATAGCGGAAGCATGCCGTAGTCGTTGGTCTTCTCACCTGCACCCGGAGACGGAGCGTGGACGGAGAGACGACGTCTCCAAATGGTCGTGTTTCCTGTCGGTCTCCACGACAACAAGTGCATCTGAAAAGGAAGACGAAAGAGGTGAAACATCACCCTTGGAGAATGCCCATTTGACACCTCGCCCTCCCAAGGTAGGGGTCATCTTGCACCCACCGCCCCAGAGTTCGACGTTTGCGGCGAATGTCAGGTGCTGTCCGAAAACTCCCCAACATCCAGTCGACCAGTAAAAGAATTGGTCTGACTAGGTGGCTTAAGTTCAGGAATTTCCTTCACCTTCGGTGGTGCCCAATAGTTAAGTTATGGTCGAATTAGACTTCTATTGCAGGCTCTTGATAAATGTTTCAGCTCCCCATTCAAAGAGGGCATTACATGGTTTTACCATCCATGTCTCGGGATATCTCGGGTCCTTTTCGGAATAACGAGCGACACGGTACTTCATGGTACTTCCAATTGATATCACCGCCGGTGCAGCTCGTTTCGCCCCTTCCGGGCCGGTTTTGAGTGTGCCGGGCAGAACACCCGGGGGAGGAAAGGCTCGTTTTGGGTGCCCTCGGCCGTGGTGAACCGCGCCACGCGCCACGCGCCAGGAAACCGGCCGATCTGAAGTGATTTCATGTGATTTCGGCCATGTGGCTTCGGGGCTCCCATTTCAGCATGTGTCAGACCTACCGAGGTTTCTCGGCACCGACACCTGGCCGGCCCATCCTATCTAACGAACCAACTGTCAGCTCTCATTGGGTCAGGTGTTCAGCTGGCCCTGTTTCTCCACGCCTTCATCCTTCATGACTTGCTTCCCATCGGGTAGGGAGTAGATGAACAGCTTCTGCCTGAAGGAAAACGCAGCAACGCCTTCTTCGGGCCAATCAGGTATAGAACCCCAAGGGAAACCAAATCAACCACAAATCCCCTGAGACCACTCAAGCGCCGGTGACGTCTCCCGAGCAGGTGGATGGCAGGGGCGCCCCCAAGTTCAGTCCTCTACTGCATTACTGCATTTGTGGGAAACTTTCGTTCCAGACCACCACGCCATTGGTCAAATTTTTTGGTGGCACGAGCGCAACTACAACACCTCCAAGAACCCAGGCTCTGCGGGGCAAGACTTCGGTCCAAATCAGAGGTACCTCATGGTACCTCAGGATACCTCGAACATGTGTACAGCATGCCTACAGCTGCGGGGCTCATGTGTTCTTCCAGTCAGGACTGTGGAACTTCATGGGTTCATCCCGACGAAAAAGAGGGTCGAATGAGCCTCCAAGCAAGAATAAGCTTCAGCCCTGAAATGGACCTCTTTCATCATGTCCATCACGTTCTTTCTTCAGACCAAGTCGTCATCCGAAAGCATCCCCGAGTCGAAGTTCCCCTGAAAATTGCCGCTGAAGGAAGCACCATCTCCAAGTAAGGCGGTGTTTTCGCCGACACCGACACCCCAAGGGAGGCGACCCGTTGGAGTGCAGTTGGTGACTACCCTTGAAGGTTGAAATGGGCCTACAGCTACCCAAAACCATGTCAATGTGCGCCTTGAACACGAGGTCAAGAAACGTTCACAGAAACGATGCAACAACATGCCGTTGGGATATTGTCACAGCTCATGTCGGCAAGCACCTCAAAGTTTAAGTTTAAGTTATATGGCAAAATTGTTGCATCGCGATTTTATGGCTCTACAGTTTTACACTCTTTGGGCTTGCTTAATCCTGACCAACTGAAGACCAGTTACCGAATCGAAAAGAAGAACAATCATCTGCCACAAGCCAATTTGACCAAATGTCCAGTTGCTAGGGCCGCTAGGGGGTTCATTCCCTGTGTCATGGAGACTCCAAAAAACATCAGAAAAGACTCCCGCAACCTGGCCCAACGCTGCTGTGTTCCCCACCTGCTGCCCTCCACGGCTAGCTTCGTGCCATCGGGGCTGAAGACCATGGTGGTCGCGTGGCACTCAGGTGCGCGTGCTTGGCGTGAGGCTTTGCGAGCCGGCGTATCCGAAAGCCACATGTATACCAAGGGTCCTTGAAGGGGTGGTTAATGGACACCCCTCAACCTCTAGGGGCCATTTATTAGACACCCCAGCCCTGGGGCCGATTTCGGTCCACTTGCTGCGGGTACCACCACCGGAACCGGAACGGGCACTGCCAACGGTTCTTGCGGCAAAGGAGTGAATGCACAAGTTGAATCAAATGCCCCTTCGTTGATTCAATGTTGAACAGGCCTGTCACCAGGCGCAAACAAGGGATGGGTGACCGCACAAAGATCCAGAGTGCAGCTTGAGAAGGCTCACTAGAGAAATCGGC